AAAAAAAAAAAAAAAAAAAAAAAAAAAAAAAAAAAAAAAAAAAAGAAAAAATCTGCTTCTCTTCGCGAAGTTTCCGTGTCCCCGAGAGGAGGCAGCGCGCAGCCCGCGTCCCCGCAGGGTCTGGGGGCGGAAGGGCAGCGCTGCCAGCAGCTCTGCAGCCGTGCATTTCCCGCACAGGTCGCCCTTTCCAGCAGCAGAGCAAGGCGAGCAGTGAGACAGACCCACTCGCAGCGCTGTCTGCAGCCGGCTCTATTTTTTTTTTTTTTTCCTCCCTCTCCAGGCAAATTTTGGAAGACCACAACAAATACCAGATGACAGAGCAAAATGAAAGTCTGACTTGGCGTTGCTTACTGTGCCCTCGCCTTCTAACGCTGCCATTCTCTCTTTGCGGGAGGGGTTTCCCTTTAGTTCGTTTCAAACCGTAGCGAAAAGAGCCCCGAGCTCGCAGGTGATCGTTGCGCTGAATCTCCCTTGAGCAGCCCTCAAAGACGCTACTATTAAGGATAAAGCTGAATAACCTCAAACGCACTGCAGTACATTCGCGTACACACACAAATATCTGTGGATCGGGTTTGCTGAGCCGGCCATGGAATCCATTACGCACAGTCCCAATAAAGTTGGATTTGCGAGGCTGTATATTTTTCTACACACCCACGCAGGCGAGAGCACACATATAGAAATGTGTATCTGGACGCGGTTAGACACGCATGCTATTTATTTGCGGGCACATCTATTTATGCATCTAAACCGTTACGCTATCGGTATATAAACAGTAGCTTAAGACCACATATACTTTTAAATGGGATGGTGTGGGTGTTCCGCGTATATTGGCCTCAATGAGCGCGTAAGAAATTAGAAGGGTCTGGAAGAAAAAAAAAAAAAAAAAAGAAAAAAAAAGGGAAAGGCGTTCCAAAATCGCGGAAGGACAGAGCTGCTCCTTTAGTTAAAAATAATGGTAATATTAACGAGATCGCCCAGCGAACGGCTCTAAACAAGGTCAGCTTTTGGCCAAGTGGCTGCAATTCGGCTCTTGACTGGAAAGCTTCCAAAGGCCTTGAAATTGGGATTAACGATCCAACTGTTCTGGTTAAGAAAGAAGCCAGAAGAAACAATTTCTTCTCAATCCATCCTCGCAGGGGTGTCACGGAGACCCCGGGGCAGCAGCGGGGCTGAGGCCGGGCACCTCCATTCCGCCGTGGGCACGCACTCCCCACGCACACGAGCACGCGTGGAGAAGCTCAGGGTGTGTATTTGCGCAAAACTCTCCCCGCAAACACCGACGGAGGAGGAGGATTCGGCCCCACGGACACAAAGGGCGTGCGGCCGCCTCCCCCCGTTGCACTGGGGCTGCTTCTTACCTTCCAGCCTTTGTTATGATCATCTCCGTCCCCACCTCGTGAAATTTCAGCCACAGCTCCCGCTCGTGCAAAAACACTTTGATCCCCTCCATGCCCTGCAAAGGAGAAAGGCAGAGCCATGAGCACCGAGCCCCGAGGAGGAAAAGCCAGGGAGGGAAGCAGCCGGGCGGTGGGGCCGGAGCTCGGGGAACGCTTCCCGGGCAGCGCCGGATCCTGCGGGCCCCGGTGCTGTGGGAGCGGGACGGCCGGGGCCGGCCGGGAGAAATCCCCCCTGCTGCGGTCGGGAGGCGGCCGGAGGAGATTCACATCCTTCTGATGAGTGATTTACACCCGCTTTTGCAGGCTGGGGCCCAATGGCTGCGATCCTCGCACCCCTAGGTCCTCGCCTTGTTAGCCCGGTCCGGAGGCATCGCTCTGAGCGGGGCGGGAGGGAGAACCACAGCCTGGCAAAACCCCCAAACCGAGGACACGTACACCCCTAACAATAACAGAACGGAAAACCGGCCGTGGGATCTCCTTCCAGGGATTTACCTGGGGCCGCCTAAGGATCCCGGCGAAGCCCTACACCCCGGCACCGATCTCCGGGGCCAGCTCTGAGCGCTGCCGCAGCCCGGCTCCTTGGCCCGGCCCTGCCCTCCTCTGCAGCGTGGGGAGAGCAGTTTGCTGCGGCCTGCCGGTGAGCCCACGTGCGTAACCGCGACTCGGGGGGGTCCGTCGGGTGAGGGTTGATGGGGATGTGCGAGGGGACCCTGGCTGTGCCCAACCCCCAAGTGGCTGCGGGCTGCCCACGCGTGACACCCACAGCGTGCCCTGGAGCCCAATGGCGGGCAGAGCAGTGTGTAGCCGGGGTACACAGGCACAATGTGTTCACGTGTACGTTTTCATGTGTATATATGCTCATACGTGTCTTAAACCAATCCACACAGGCACATAGCAAATACACAGCTGTCTGAGCTTGCATCTGCATGTGCATTTCTACGCTCAAGCACTGGCTGTGTGTGCCTGTCCTTGCACAAACGGGTCCCTCCCTGTTACATTCACTGCGATTTTTCCCTGCATGCCCCCCCCAGCACTCAAACACGCTGCAAAGAACAGCAAAGCAGGAAAGAGCCCACCGTCCTGACCATCAGGTGAGAGCTTTCCTTCCCGTGAGGCCTAAAATGACTCATTCCTGCCCAGCTCAGGAGTAGAACTACAGCTGGGATCGGGGGGAAAACGCAGAAAATTGGCAAAAAAAAAAAAAAAAAAAAAAAAAAGGAGAGAGGGGGACGAAAGAGAAGGGGAGCTGCGGCCGGATCCTTACCTGCTGGGTGAAGGCTGCCTGCGGAGAGGTGGGGGCCTTGCTGGTGGTCCCCAGCTGGGGGTCCTGCTTGGCCTCAGCCTGCAGCTCCTTGGCCTCCGAGTCAGCCGGCGTGCTCGGGAGCCCGAAGCCTTCCTCGGTGTCCGCCATGTTACGAGCTTCCTTCGCCGAATCCCCCACTGCAGGCACACATCGAGGAGAGAGCAGAGATAAGAGGCACATAAGTCAAGGCTGACGCTCAATCAAATATATATACATTAACGATACACATGCGCTGAGCCCGGCGCTGGGCAGGGCGGGAGGGCGAAGCAGCGCTGCTCGCAACTCACTTCCAGCAGCCCGGGGAGAGGACAAGGCCCTTTAACTTTTGGAGAGGGAGAAATAAAGACTTTTATTTATTATCGCAGCCCGCAAGGGATGATAGGATTTGGGGTGGGGGATGGGGAGAGGGGAGGCGGTATTATTAAATGCATCTTTTGGACAAGGTAAACAGCCGCCTTCCCGCAGTCCGCCCGGCAGCGCGCACGGGGCACCTTGCCGCGGGACCGAACCGCTCAGCACACGCGTGGCCGCGAGGTGGGGGTGTCCCGGGGGGGGTCTGGGCCTCCCCATCCCCAGGGCCGATATCGGGCTCTCTGGGCCGGGGAGGCTGGAAGATCCCCCCGTCCTCCCCGAGAGGTAGGAGCCGCTTTCCAGCAAGCGAATGCCACCGCCACGTGACGGCGTTTATATAACCCCAATTCCAAAGAAAATTCAACTTCGTGCACCCCTGTGAAGCGCGACCTTTCCGCCAAAGTAAAATAAAACGAGTCTTTTATCCATCCTCCAAAACCCCAAACTCAAAACGCTGTCCCGAATAGTTGCAAATCAAGTCGGATTGGACGGACGAGACGATTAAAAAACATCTAAAAAGTGCGAATCAGTCCGATATGGTGCAAAGTAACGTGCGCATGGACTGCACATGCAGTGAGCTGAGCCCTAACGGGAGGAAAACTGCACCGGCAGAGCCTGAGAAATCCGCCGCTTACATCTGATGCGAGCAACAAGAGGAGTTTTAAAGGCGGTGTTTTGGTGGAGCTTTGAGGGCTCTATCAGGACTGGTAAAAGTTCCAAACAGGAAAAAAAAAAATAGCAGCCTTCCAGCAGTCCGCCCGAAAACAGGAAGGAAAAAAACAGGTTCAATTATCTGTAAGTATTTTTTTTTTTTTCGTTTGTTTTGAGGA